TAAGCGCCACATAGCTAGTCTCTTGGGGAGTCTTTTAGAGGCCACCTAATAGGTATGGAGGCTCCCACTCCTCTGCCTCCCGTCTCTTCTTTCTTAGTAGGGACTGAACTAGACCATTGTGTGGGTCACTTTTCACCTCTAATCAGGCCCCGCTGATTCACCTTCCTGCCTCCCACCCCAGGAGTCCCAAAGCAGCAGTTAGAGGCACAGCCTCAGTTTCTCTCTGGCTCCCGACATATTCCATCCGATGCCTTCGGCATCAGACGAATGGTAATGGCACGGGCAGCCAGCACTTAGGAAAATAAACAAAGGCAACTAGGGTAAGGCCACCTGTTTTCTTGCCCCAACCTCCAGAAGGTGGAACTTACTAGATGCTTTGCCTGCTCATCTTCTGTGTATGAATGCCCATCGTAAACAGAGACCTAGTTATAGATCCTGGCTACCTGGATACACGAACGCTTTCCATGGCGGCCCTATACTTAACATTTGATCAAGATTCCTTCAGAGAGTTTAATTTTATAGCTGAGAAGCAACTTTAAAGGCCAGGCCAGGATGTGGTCCGTTTTCAGTTTCTGTAGGACCTTCGCGTGTAGTCAGTGCACCCCCTGCCAAGGGTTTTAGCCAGCTCCAGCCCGCCGGGCAATTGCTTATAAAGGCAAGAGACATGTTCATTTTCCTTCAGAGGAAAAACCCTCAAAGTGGGCAAACATGGCGGATGAGAAACATGGCAGACAGCTAGGGCCGATGACCTTCTTATCCTGCAGATCCGTACCAGTGCTCCCTATGCAGCTCACCACTTATTGCAGAAGCGTGACCTGTCTGCCTTCCCTAGTGCTATGTGACCCAGGTGCCTTGGTGAGCCACGCCTTCCTGCCTATCGACCTCATCTCTCTTCAGCCAGCGGCTCCCCACCTCCTCTGCTCTGAGATATCCAGTCTGTACTTTCGATGCGCTCAGTACTAACAGCGTTTCTTTGCCTTTTCTCTAGTCCCTAATGCAGACTTCTTCAACTCCATATTGAAAATGTGTGGGGAGTATATTTTCTTTTGCTTTCATGCTGTTGATTCTTCCCACCACCCCTCCACTCTCCAGCATTTAGCACTGCAGAAGGGAAGGAGGGAAGGTTGCAGGGAAAGAATACGGGGTAAGAAGAAAACAACGGGCTTAGTGGGAAACAAATATGAAAGAACAAATCGAGTCAATAAAAACACCACAGTCCCATTTTTAGCCATGAAGTCTCTGTATCCCTTCAATAGAAGGACTGTGGCACTTTTTTTTAAGTCCCCAACTATCACCGAAGGTCTCTCCCCCCAAAAAACAGAGTGATAGGGAAAG